ACATGGTTCCTCGACAGTTGTTGCGGTCATCACATGTGCTCTTCATCACGATTTCTTCAGCGCGAACGACGTCTTCCGCGAGACGTCATCATCACCATCGCCAACAACGAAAACCTGCGCACCAACAAACAAGGAGTCGTGGAGCTTCAGTCAAACGAAACAAACGTTATTCTTCAATTAAACAAAGTACTCGTCGTCGACAACCTCGGCTTTAACTTACTGAGCGTCAGCCAACTCATGTCGAAAGGCGTTCACCTGGAGTGCGACTCCGACGCACTGGAAATCCGTCTTTACCACGGAAAAGGGGGGGTCTTCATCGGCCGTGCAATCCAACAAGATGACGTGTTCGTCCTCGACTTCGTCCCCGACAAAGGCACCGCAGACAGCGACGGCATAGTCGCTCTCGCACCTTGGACGCATCCGCCAGACCTCGACCCGAACTTCAGTCCTGAAGGCTTCTGGTACTCTCGTACCATTCCCGAAGCTGAACGCACCAACGCGCTTGCCGTCCTGCAAACACAAGCCACAACACCTGAGTCAGCACCCGTCATCGAAACAACAACTGCACCCGTCACAACACCAACGACCTCCGAACCTGCAATTAAAGAACCAACCGTCGTCGCGGAACAACCTTCCGAAACCCTACAGCTCGGTCCCTCCGTCGCACCTCCACCTCTCATCATCGACACGCCACCGACAGCCGCCCAACAGTTAACGCCAGCACCACGCGCCGTTCATCGAAGTGCAGCAACTCACGCCGCCTTCTTCGCTAACGCAGACTTCTATCGACGCTCCGTAGGTCACAGCGCCTCCGAAGACATATGGCATCAACGTCTTGGACATCCTGGAAACACAACACTCTACAATACAATACGAGCCGGAGTGTTAGACAAGAACGCCCTACTTCTTCCCAACGGACGAGAACTCGAACGACCACGCGGCACCTGCTTCATCTGCCCGGAAGCAGATCTGCCTCACCAACCGTTCCCGTCACACCACAATCCGAGCGCCCCCGCTTATCAACCACTCGAGAAAGTCTACAGCGACATACTATACATACCTCGAACGGAAGGACGTGAAGATCTGAACTACGTCATCACCTTCATCGACGCCGCAACGCGATATGTCTGGCACGTCAACTTACCATCACGAGACATGGCTCTAGAAGCCTTCACAGCCTGGCTACCTGTCGCTGAAAGAGAGTCAGGAGCGAAACTGAAGAGTTTTCAGTCAGATGGCGCAAAGGAGTACCAGTCAAACAGCTTCACACAGTTTTTGGCAGAAAGAGGCATCAAACGCCTCATCTCTCTTCCTTACGCTCACCAACAGCAGGGTGTGGCAGAAAGGATGAACAGGACCCTGCAGACAACCATGCGAAAGCTGCTACGTGGAACTCGACTGCCCAACTCAGAATGGCCAGCAGCGATGGACCACGCTGTCCTCCTGCACAACTTCCTGTCCTCGTCATCACTGCCCAACAACGCATCTCCGCACCTGTTGTGGACTGGGAAGCTGGGCAACACAAAAATGTTACGAGTTTTTGGGTGTATGGTACAGTACCGCCCACACACTGCACGCGCAGGGAGATTCTCGCAACGTGCACAGTGGGGTCTACACCTCGGGCTGGCAAAATATTACGAAGCATGGCGAATCTTCGACGTCCACACAAAGGAAACAGTAGCAGCACGTGACGTTATCTTCTACGAGCGACTCACCCTCAACCATTACCTGGACAACATCGCACGCCACGTCGACCCCACCGGCGGATTTTCTGGTTCCCGAGCCTTCGCTTCACCCTCCGATGCTGCTGACTGGGAAGAAGAGAACTTCGACGGCGCTTCCGAAGCTGCTGGACCCCTTCCTTACTGCTCCGTCCCAATCCCCATGGACGAGGAAAACCCTCGCGACAGTAACAATGCCGACGCCTACTACCATTTCGCCGACAATGGTTACGTAACACCCCAACCCGTCAACACCGACATCTCTGAAAGATACGGCCCCGGATTCGCACCTGATCCTGAAGCGGGAGACGAAGCAGTCTATCCCGAGGACCCTTTACTGAATCGTCACACCCCCAGCGGACTCCAAGTCCTGGGACTCGTCGCTGCAGTGCACGGGCCTTCGTCGCCACCTGAAGAGCCTCGCTCTGTCAAGCAGGCTCTGGGGGGGGAACACAAAGAAAAATGGCGCGAAGCCATGGAAAAGGAGTTAAAAGCGCTCTCAGACCGCAACACCTGGAAGATCGTCCCTGCATCACTCGCACAAGACAAACCCATCCTCTCCGGAAAATGGGTATTCCGGATCAAAACCAACTCCGACGGAACCATCGAACGGTTTAAAGCTCGATGGGTCGTCCGCGGATTCGACCAAGAGTATGGTCGCGATTTCACTGAAACCTTCGCACCAGTCAGTCGACATACTTCCCTGCGCATACTCCTCGCCATCGCCGCCTCACGCCGCCGCCCACTCCGACAAATCGATGTCGCCAACGCCTTTCTATACGCCCCAGTCGACGCTGAAATCTTCGTCGAACAGCCCCACGGGTTCGTCGACGACCCTTCCCTCGTCTGCCAACTACTTAAATCACTATACGGAATTAAGCAGGCACCGCGACTCTGGCAGCAGTACCTGCACGCACGACTCAAACGCATCGGATTCAACCAACTGCCCCATGACCAGGGCATGTATCGTCTCACTCGCGACAACGACTACGTTCTGCTAATCGTCTACGTCGACGATTTGCTTTACATCGGGTCAACTACCACCATCGTCACCTGGTTCGAAAAGGAGCTTCAGACAGATCTCTCCCTCACAGTCTCACCCAACGTCACGCAGTATCTAGGGCTCAACATCCTCGATGAAGACAACACTATTCGTCTCAGCGCCTCAAAATACGCAAGCACTATCGCCGAACGCTTCTGCATCACACCGACGCACATCGCAACACCCTACAGTCACCTATCGCTCGATCCAACCGAAGAAACCAACCCACTGCCGCCTGCTGAAATCCAGGAATATCAACAGAAACTGGGCTGCCTACTCTTTGCCACCGTTACGTGCCGACCGGACTTATCCTACAGCGCCAGTCAACTAGCGACCTACCTCAAGCGCCCAGAACAACGTCACCTCAAGGAACTCAACCGTGCCCTTCTCTACTTCATCTCGACGCCAACAGTTGGCTTAACATATCACAAGAACACGACGACCGACCTAAAACTACTCGGCTACGTCGACGCTGATCATGCTGCTGATCGTGTCGATCGTCGCTCTCGCACCGGCTACATCTACCGTCTTGAGCCCGTCGGAACTATCTCCTGGCAATCAAGTAAGCAGGAACTCGTCGCACTATCATCTGCTGAAGCAGAGTATATTGCTCTCTGCACTGCTACCAAGGAGGGCCTGTACCTGCGCGAACTGCTGGAAGAAGCGAAAATTGCGAAAGTACCCAGCTTCTCGCTTTTCTGCGACAACCAGTCCGCGATACGGATCGCGAACAAGAATGGCTTCGCCAACAGAACCAAGCATATCGCACTGCGATACTTCTTCGTGAAAGACGAAATTGAGAAAGGAAAACTCCAGCTGGATTACTGCCCGACCACCGAGATGGCAGCAGATTATCTCACCAAGAAGCTACCAAAGGGGAAATTCGAGTATTGCATGCTGCTCACCGGATTGGACCACGTCACCGAAGCTGACCACGTCGACACTCCAGAAACGAAGGGGAGTGTTGGGAAAATAAACGCATGACTTAGTGCGTTTCTGTAGTATCGAACCTCACCCGATACTGAAGCACAACAAAAGGAGTACGAAGTCGAAAAGGCGCGTACCACATCAAACCGCAACTAGAGGTTGGGAGCTGTAACCGCCTGGAGGTTACGTAACAGCAAGCGACGCTTCAGTGAACAGTAACCACCTCGATAGTCGAAGCGTTACGCGTCTCGATAAACATAACCGCTTCTTGTAATCTATCCTTTCTATATATTCCTGTATGCCCTTTGCTTTAATCAATTACTTGTTCTCACATACCAGCACAAGTACATTCACTCAAGACTTCCGCTGTGCTACTCTAGCACTTACTAGCCTATTCTCTGCAAAGATCCTAAGGCTGAAATTCTCAGCCCAACAGAGGCGCTTAAGACTTATTATTCCCAACAGGTAGGAGCTGCGCGCGGGCTGCGCGGACAGCGGGCGGGTCGCGCGGGCTACTAGCGGGCGGCGCGCGGGCCAGCAGAGGCGACTAGCGGGTCGCGCGGGCTACTAACAAGCGACGCGCGGGCCGCACGGGCTGCTAGCGGGACGTGCGCGGGGCTAGGGTAGTGCAGGGCTCGGGGTAGCTCGGTAACCGCAAGTGGTGGGTGGTGGGCTTGAAAAAAAACGCTCCTAAGGTCCTAAGGACCTATTGCTTTTAATACCATGGTAGAATAGGTAGCTAGGAATGATGAGACTATCGAGAAAGTTTGGTACGAATTAGGAAGGGGTCGTACCCTATAGTGGCTACCCCACTACAGCCTAGATAAATAACCTAAACATATATGTTTGACATTTTATGCCAACTCTGAGAGTTTCAAACTATAACTGTGAACTAGTCAGACGAATTAAACAGACAAAAAACGAATCTGAGGGCCTTGCTTGTCTTGCCATTATCAATCAATTCTCATTCATCTCTTCAATTACTCCGTAACTTCTTCACCCACAGTCTTTCGCTAATATTTCTACCGTCATAGTCTTCCGCTGCGTTCTCATCCTCTACTTAGTCCACCCCGCTAATCTTTGGAGATTAAGCACGGGCCTAACATCAACTGTGGCATAAAAAAAGAAATACTGAATCTCACAAGGTAGCAACCGGAAAGCTGCAGGCAGCTGCCACCCTCCATACCCGGGTCTACCATTCATTATTTAATAAAAGCATTAAGTGGACCTAACTCACAAATGATCATTTGGTAGAACCACTCAGCACATTCCAGAACTGAAAGCATTTTAAACGTGTGGGAGGATCAAGCCTACTCAGTCTTCTTAGACTTGGGCTTGTTGAGAGCACCCCGGATCTTCTCCTCAGCGAGCTTGTAGATCTTATCCATTTCTGCCAGAACCTTCTCAAGATGCTCATCCACCTGGTCCTCGAACTTGTCATACAGAGCGGGAAGAGAGAAGGCGGTGACAATGGCTGCACAGGACAAAAGAATTGCGGAGCGGGATAAGGTTAGGAAACTGGAGCTTATGACGAGGGTGAGAAAGACGAAGGTGAATGGGCTTCAAATCTTACCAATCAAGACGAGGGTGAGAAAGTGGAACCATGCACCCACAACTGCGACCACGTAAAGAGCGGCGAGCACCTGCAAGGACGATTTAACATGGTAAGACATCTAGGCAAGTGAGGACGAGCACCCGCGAGAATATGATCGATGGTTACCTTGGCAAAGAGGAGGTAGTCCTTCCCGAGGGCGACGTCGTGTGCAAGCTTCAGCATTGTGTTGATCTCGTCACGGATATAGATCGCCGACTTGCTGATTGAGTCCTCGGAAACCTTGAGTTCCGGGAGGGGGGGTCCAGACCTGTCAAAGGGGTAACAAAACGACGCGAGATTCGTTACTACGGTACATAATCTCCTGAGTGTTAATAACGATTCAAAAGATTATGTATGTCGGTTGCTGTGTGCGTGAAAACGGGTGCTTACTTGTTCAAGAAAGAAGCCACTTGAGCCCAAAGGAAGAAGGTCGTCACCACGATCATGAGGCCATCAGCAGCCAATGTGAGAAGGGTCATCCCCGATCGTTCAAAAAAAAACCACAGAGCGACGACGGACAGCAGGATTGCAGAGCTCGACTTCCAATCCTTCCAGAGCAAAGTGTCGGCAACTGAAACCGGAAACAAGAGCACGTTACAACCTGGAATGCGCTTCATAAGGGACCAACTGCACAAATTCGCGACACCGCACGCACCTTTCCCTCCACCAAGAAGCTCACTGACAGATTTCGTCCTGCCGAAAGGCCGAGCCTTAACTGGAGAAGGCTCGATCGCAGGCGCGACTTCAGACATCATAGAGTCAGCCATTGTTTCAAACGAGGGCGTTTGGACAAGATGAGCTAGATAATCTTGACGTTTGGGAAAACAATTCTAAGTAGAGGTGAGTGACTACAAGAGGGCAACAAGAAGAATGCTTGTTTTGTCTGCTCCTACAGACTGGGAGGATTCTTTGGGATCTGGGACAAACCTGTCCTCACAGGGTCTTGGAAAGATGGAGGCTGCCTCGTGTAACAGCGGATGATGTAGCTCCGCATGAACATTCGATAGTAACACATGAACTAACGGCCCACATGTGCCTGACACATTCCTTTACACGCACATGTTGATTGCACATTCGAGACACGAGAACTTTGGATAGCTAGGTGTACAAGCTTTGTTTGCGGGCATATAAGCCTGCATAATATAATGAGCGTGATTGCATTGTAAAAGTATTGAGCTTTCAAGAACGGAATCAGAATAAAACATGAATTATATTATTTTATGTGCTTGTTTTGATTTATTTCTGTCAAATGGTTCCTGCCAATGAAATGTATCAAATCAGCCAAATAGAGTATACCTTGTTTCTCAGAATTTCCCACATCCACAGAGAGAAGTTTGCTAGGGTCTCCATGGATGATCTCAGTTAAAATTCAGAGGGCTTGCATAGTTTTCTCTTCGATTTGTGATTAAGGATTCATCTTCCTTGGCTGAGTCCACACTTACCGTTCTTCGCCACTCACAACCATCATATCGTCTGTTTTGCCATGGAGAACATGTGAGCTGTTCTGTTCGTCTCTCTGATGGCGAGTTATCAGTTGGAAGGTCAAGTCATTTTTCGCAAGTCCCAGCTTTCCTAATCCCCATGGCGTCGCGAGTGCTTGCGCTGACTTTGCCACCACGACTGCGACCTCCTCTCAGGAGCAGCTCTTTTTTTGGGAGATCTCTAACAGCAGGAGCAAGTACCGTTCATCCACGTTTATCCCGACTTCCGCCATCGCAAAACGAGCTCGCAGGGCTTGTCTGTAGTTTGCCCCGCGCACCAGTTCCCAACGCAGAGGCAAGCCACCCTGATCTTCGTTCCTTTAGCGGAGACGCTTCTAACGCGAACAGGCGGGTTAATACCGTATCCCCGAGCTCTATTCCTCCCGAGGGTTTCGGGTTTCGGGGGGTGAACAGCGCGAATAGCAGCAGTCGGAGCATACACTGCTGTGCGTACAACAGTAGTGATAGTAACCGTGCGGCGTGGCCCAGCAGCGAGTATCCTTCTGGGCGCGATAGCGAGCGGGGCCGTGGGAGACAAGCACCAGGCGGACGAGGCGAACGAGGCGGACGCGGCGGGCCCAGCAGTAGAAGCAGCAGCGGCAGCGGTAGAAGCGAAGGCTATGGTAGGGAGCGGACGGCTTGGCGGGAGGGCGGCGAGGATGCCGGTGAGTTAGGATGGCGCGAGGGTGGGACAGGAGGACGGCGCGGCGGCGACGGAGCGGAGAGATCGTTCGACGACGGGGGGTACTCGAACGGGAGAAGCAGTAGCGCGAGAGGCGGCAGGGGAAGCGAGAGGGGAGGTAACAATCGCAGAGAAAGTAGGAGTGATTACGATAACCCGGACAACCGGTATGGGAGCGGAGGTAACTCCGGGTATTCAGCTTCCCGCGGTGACGAAAGAACTCGCTATGGTTACCCGAATTCCCGCCCATCATCTTTCGCCTCGCCTGATCGGGATCGACCCACAGCGAACGGCAGGGGGCAGTCGTTCACGAAGGATGGGCGACCGGTGCGCGACCCTCGCGACGCGCAGGCGATTCTCCTGCGACACGGCATGGAGCTGGACGAGGAGGTGCGCGAGTTGCGGCGACAGCGGCAGGAGCGGTTCGATCAGAGCCAGCGGGATCGGAGTTCGTTTCGCGGCAAGGATTCTCGACAGCAGCGCGATTCGCCAGCCGCCGCGAGACGGTCCTTTTCATCACCACCGTCCTTCTCTACCCGCGATTCCTCGCCGCGAATGCCGCCCGAGTCGCGCTCCCCTGCCCGCGCTGCCCCCGCTTCCCCGCCGCTAGACAAAGTTTACCCCCCTCCGCCCGCCAACGAGCGCCCGTGGTCCGCGGGCGACGCGGCGGCGGCGCGGCAGGCGGAAAAGGAGGCGGAGAAGTTGGCGCAGCAGGAGGCGCGGTTGCAGCGGGAGCTGGCGCGGGAGGTGGCGGAGCGAGAGGCGGAACGGCTGGCGGCGCAGAAGGAGAACCAGCGGCGGCAGAAGGAGCAGACGGAGAAGCTGCGCGCGGAGGCGCGGGGAGATGCGCAGCAGGGGGAAGTAGAGCAAGGGGGAGCGGAGCAAGAGGATGTGGGGAAAGGGGGAGTGAAAGAGGGCGCGGAAGGGGGCGCGGGGAAGCTCGAAGGTGACGTGGCAGCGGACCAGAAGGAAGCGGCTGTAGCAGAGCTAACGAAAAGCCGTAGCAGCAGCAGGAGCAGCGGCAGGAAGAAAGAGAGCGAGGAGGGCGGAGAGCAGGCGTTGGTGGGGCGCAGCCTGGAGGAGATGGAGCAACTCGCCATGGCGCTCGGGGAGGTGCGCCACCCGCTCCTTACCCTCCCCTTCCGCTCCCTCCCCGTCCCTCCGCTCCCCTCCCCTCCCCTCCCATTCCCTCCCCTCCCGTCCTCTCCCTTCGTTTCTCGCCCTTCGACCCTGAACCCTATCCGTTTTCCCGGTTCCCCTCGCTTCTGCACCCCTTGTCCCTTACCCCTTTCTAATCTCTCCGCTCTCCCCTCTCCCCTCTCTCCCCTCTCCCCTCCCCCCTCTCCCCTCTCCCCTTCCCCTCTCCTCTCTCTCCTCTCCCTCCTCTCTCCCCTCTCCCCTCTCCCCTCCCCCCTCTCCCCTCTCCCCTTCCCCTCTCCTCTCTCTCCTCTCCCTCCTCTCTCCCCTCTCCCCTCGCCCCTGGCCCCTGGCCCCTGGCAGCAAAAGTACCGGGGGCGGCAGCTGCACCAGTTCGTGTATGCCAACAAGGGCTGCGAGCTCAGCGAGCTGAAGCAGCGTGAGTGAGAGGGAGGGGAAAGGGGGATGAGGGGGGTGTGGGGCAGGGAAATGGAGGGGTGCGTGTGTGTGAAGGGCGGGGGTGTGAAATAGTGATGCAGCTGCACCAGTTCGTGTATGCCAACAAGCGCTGTGAGCTCAGCGAGCTCAAGCAGCGTGAGTGAGCCGCAGTGTCCGGGGGGGGGGGGGTTGGGGGGGCAGGGGAATGCAGGGGTACATGTGAGTGACGGGAGAGGGTGTGGCATGACAGCGCGCGGCAGCTGCGCTCCAGTTCGTGTACCCGCTGCACGAGTTCATGAAAGTAAGACCCCCGCAGCCCACATTTCCGCTACTGACAGCTGCTGCTCTGCATCAGCTCGTGTACAGCTGCTGCAATGAGGGCTGCAAGCCCAGCGAGCTGAAGCAGCGTGAGGCTCTCTGCCCATGAGTGTGGGTCGATTTTGAGAATACTCAAGGGAGTGTGTGTGTGTTTGTGGGTGCGAGGCTGAGCTGGATTGAGTGTGGGAGAGAGCGTTGGGTCATTCGTGTGTGTTTGTCTGTGTGTGTTTGCGTGCGTGCGAGGGAGAGTGAGAGTGAGAGTGAGAGGGGGAAAGGGAGGGGAGAAAGGTGGGACTGAGGGTCACGGGAGGTCATGAAGCAGCATGGAGCACGTTATAGCACTTGCATCGTTGCGCGCATACTGCTACACTTCATGCTCCCCCTCTGTTGCTCCCCCTGTGGTGCTCCCCCTCTGTTGCTCCCCCTGTGGTGCTCTCCCCCTGTCCGCATGGCAGTGCCGCTTGCGTTTCGAGAGCGCTTGTCGGAGAGGGGAGTGGTGGTGGGGCGCCCTCCCGTGCACCACGTCGCCGCTGCTGCTGATGGCACCGCTAAGGTCTCGCCTCGCTCTCACCTCCGCCCCTTTCTTTCCTTCTCTCCACCTCCCCTTTTCCTGCTCCTCACCCCTCTCCTCCCCTCTACGTCTTCCTTCGCGCCCTCCAACCCCCTTCCCCTCATTACCTGTTCTTCATCCCCCCTTTTCCTATTGCTCACACCCCCCCCTCCCCCTCTCCCACCGTTTGCCCTTTTCTACCACACTCTGTCCCTTATTCTGCCTTTCCTTTACTGATTTTCTCTCTTTTGCACCCTTCTTTTCTCTTATTCATTTCCAAACTCTGTCCCCTCACTCCTGTTCTTTTGCATCTGAATCTACCTCTTTCTCTTCATCCCCCCCACCTCTCTCGCTCTGATGCGCCCACAATTCCACCCTCTCCCGCCTCGTCCATCACTCCCCGTTATCCTCCCTCTTTCACACAATCACGCGCATCTCCCCCCTCCTTCTCCCCCTCTCCTCCCTGCTTCCTCCCCCCCTTCTTGCTGCGGCCAGCTGCTGCTGCGGCTAACGGACAACAGGCTGGTGGAGGCGGTGGGTATTCCCATGGAGGGCAGCCGCAAGGGCGCTCACCACCTCACCGCCTGCATCTCCTCGCAGGTATGGGGAGAGGGGAGATGTGCAGGCGAAGGGGAATGGGAGGGGAAAGGGGAGTGAATGGAGAAAGGGGAGACGGTGGGGGGGTTAAGGTGAATGGGGTAGGGGGAAGGGGAATGGGGTTGGAAGAGACCGCATAAGAGGTAAGAGAGACAAATGGGTGTAACGAAGAGAACCAATGGGGATGGGAAGGGGGTGTAAAGGAGGGCCTCTCCGTCCGTTCTCCCCCTCTCATCCCATCTACCCACCCGCTCAACCACACCATCGCCCTCCCACCCCTCACGCACACAACCTCCTCACCCCGTCCTCCCCTTTCCCGCCAGGTGGGCTGTCCCCTCCGGTGCTCCTTCTGCGCGACAGGCAAGGGCGGGTTCGCGCGCAACTTAAAGCCGTACGAGATAGTGGCGCAGGTGCTGGCGGTGGAGGCGCTGTTCCAGCACCGTGTGACCAACATCGTCTTCATGGGCATGGGCGAGCCGCTGCTCAACCTCCCCGCTGTGCTGCGCGCTCATAAGTGCCTCAACCAGGTCCGTGCGCGAGAGGCGTCGGGGTGGGGATGGGGGTGGGTGCGTGGGTGGGTGGGTGGTGGGTGGATGGGTGGATGGGTGGGTGGTATGTGTGGGTGGGCAAGGGCTTATTGTGTGTGCTGTGCTTGTCCTGATCCCCCCATCTTTCACTGCGGTGACCGAGGTGTGGTTGTGCATGCGTGCATGCCACACGCCTTATGTACTGCCACCACCAATCCTGCTCCATCTATGCCTTTTACCTGGTTGCATGGTTGCATGGGTGCATGGGTGCATGGGTGCTTGGTTGCGTTGCATGGGTGCATGGGTGCTTGGTTGCGTTGCATGGGTGCATGGGTGCTTGGTTGCATTGCATGGGTGCATGCGTGCGTGCGTGCGAGTGCTCTATCCCGGCACCAGGACGTGGGCATAGGGCAGCGCAACATCACCATATCCACCGTGGGCGTGCCCAACGCCATTGCTCGCCTCGCCCAGCACAAGCTACAGTCCACCCTCGCAGTCAGGTCAGTGCACCCTCGCAGTCAGGTCTATGCACTCTCTTTCTCTGCTCCTGCTGTGCTCTTGCTCTGCTCTTGCTCTGCTCTTGCTCTGCTCTTGCTCTGCTCTTGCTCTGCTCTTGCTCTGCTCTTGTTGTGCGCTTTCTCTTTCTCTACCTCTGGTCGTGTACATGGTCCCAGTGGCATCTCATCCAAGAACCACCATGCATGCACCACCACTTCCCTCGTCTTCAGTAGCCCTTCCAACCCAATCCCTGCCTCCCTTCGCACCCCCATTATCATCCCGTTCCACATCACCTCCCCTCCCCCCATCCTGTCACTCTCTCCCACACCCTCCACTCCAACCCTACGAATATATTCTGCTCCTTTCAAAAACGCTCATCGCCTCCTTATTACCCATCATTCCCTGCCCGCACGCTCTCTTCGCCCCTTTCCCCCAACCCTCTCATGCCCTGCCTCATGCCCTGACACACGCCCTCACGCCTGTCAACCCCTCCTCCCATCCCCTGGTCAGTCTGCACGCGCCCAACCAGCAGCTGAGGGAGGCGCTGGTACCGTCAGCCAAGGCGTACCCCATAGAGGCGCTTCTGGCGGACTGCCGTGCCTATTTCAACACCACTGGCCGCCGCGTCTCCTTTGAATACACTCTGCTCGGTGCGCTGCCTGCCTGCTCTCTCGCCCTCCCTCCACCCCGCCTCCCTCTGCGCATTGCTCTCCCTCCCACCCCCTTCCTCTGCACTCCCTGCTCTTCTCACTCCCTGCTCGTCTCCCCCATCTGCTCTGTTTCTGGCCCTTGTTGTACCCCTCTCCGTCCCTGCTAGCCCTCCCTCCCGCCCTGCTTGCCCTTTACCATCGCATGCACACATGGCCAAGCCCGCCACCTACTTGCTGCTGTGTTCTTTGCTTTGTTCTCAACCCCTCCATTCACTTCCGAGAATTCTCAAAAGTGGTTTCAATCCCTCCATTCACTCATCTGATCTCCCCTTGCGCGTCACCCCATCTCCTCTTGCACATCGCCTCATCTCGTGCTGCTCTCGCGTGTGCAGCGGGGGTGAACGACCAGGTGGAGCATGCACGGGAGCTGGCATCGCTGCTGCGGCGCCATGGCGTGGCGCACCATGTAAACGTCATCCCCTTCAACCCCATCTCCGACTCGCTCTATCGCCGCCCTAGCAAACCCTATGTGAGTGCAGCTCCATCATGTCGTGTGTGTGTGTGTGTGTGGGTGGGTCCTCCTCCTCCTCCTCCTCCTCCTCCTCCTCCTCCTCCTCCTCCTCCTCCTCCTCCTCCTCCTCCTCCTCCTCCTCCTCCTCCTCCTCCTCCTCCTCCTCCTCCTCCTCCTCCTCCTCCTCCTCCTCATCCGCCTCCTCCGCCTCCTTCACCTCCCCCTCTCCTTCTAAGTCGTACCCCAGGCATTGTCTACTCTCCTCCTGTAATTCCAATGTTTCTTAGCCTGGCATCGCGTGTGTTGGTCTGTCGTTGTGCATAAAGGTCATGAAGCTCCGCATTCTCGTTGCGTCCATTTGACCAGGTGATGGCGTTTGTGGAGGAGCTGAGGAACCAGAGGATCACGGCGTCTGTAAGGCACACTCGGGGCATGGAGGCAAATGCAGCGTGCGGGCAGCTCAGAAATGATTTCCAGAAGGTTCCGCTGAGCGTGGCAATGGCGGGGGATGGAGAGCCTCTTGCAGAGAGCCTTTCAGCTCTGGCATAAAGCTTGATGGTCACCGCACATAACCAACACCTCGTTTCGGCTAAATTCAACAAATGCGTGTGTGCCTGCATGCAGCGGCACCAAATTCTACAGCTGTTATGTATTAGTCATATTAGAGATTGTTCTACATTTAAACCTGGGTCTCATATTTACTAGTGTATTACACTTGGTTGGGCTAAAGCGATTGTGATTGGGTAACGATAGGCGAGTTTTGTGACGAGCAGTTTGGGAAACACAGACGAAACCTCACTTCGTCCACGCAAAAGCCAAGCGAGCCCCTCAGGCATGGAAAGCTACCACACCTAGAAAACAACTCCGGCAGAGTCGCAATTCCATGCGACCAACTGAAACTACAAGATACGGTACAATTCGCCCACATTCACCCGAAAAGGCAGAGCAAAACTCAGCCGTGATTCTTAGTACCTCTGCTGAGTAGGTTCCTCGGCATATACCTCCCCTTGTAGCATCCTATTAGGTCGCATTTCGGATCTCGAAATCAGCCTACACAGTCCGCGTCAGAACACATTCCTACAGTCCCTCCTTCCCGAAACCATTATTTATTCGAAGTACTTGCCACGAGACTTGTCGTGACCACGAGACTGTTTACGGGAGTTGTGTGTTGGCCCCGTCCTCGCTTGGGCGGAGCCGACTTCGTAGTCGGGTGTGAGAGGAGCATCCGACCTGCAGCAGTGGGCGAGCTGGTTGACGAGGAGGTCGACCTGCACGGGGGCCACTGCACGGGCGCCGAGTTCAGGGTGGCGCCGACTTCAGGGAGGTCGACCTGGGAAGTCGACCTATGGAGGGCGTCGACTTGGTGACGCCAACTTGGGGGCAGCCAACTTGGTGGTCGGCTGACAGGCCTGCTGGTCGACTTGGTGGTTGGTCGACCAGAAGTGATGTGGACCTGGTGGTCGACCTGACCTGGTGGTCGACGGAGGAGGGGCCGACGTCGACCTCGACTCAGGACGTCGAGCAATTGGGCGTCGAGTAGCAGGGCGTCAACTTGGTAACGCCGACTTCGGGTAGCCAACCTGGAGCTGGTCGGCTAACAACTGCGCTGGTCGACATGGAGCTGATCGACGAGGAGTGACGTCGACCTGGAGCTGGTCGACCAGGGGTGTGGTCGACCTGGTGGGGTCGACTTAGAGGTGGTCGTCGACTTGGGAGGTCGACGGGCACATACGGTAGCAGCTGGTCGACGTGGTTGCCCGGTCGACCAGGTTACCTGGGTGACGAGGTTCTGCGGAGGAGTGCGACGGTCGCCCAGGCGAAGTTGGCGAGTCCGACCTCGGTGGTGGTATCCCGAGGTCGACGTGGCTGATCAGATGCAGTCGTCAGTGCCAGGTTGACTTGGTGTGTGCGCTGTGCAGGTGACGAGGCTTAGCGCGCCAATCATCTGCGAGCACCTGCAAAGTAGGTGTGCTGCTGTTTTGCGGGAGCAACGCTGGCACGCCTTCAACTTGCAGTGTTGGCACGTCGTCGACTTTGCACTGCTGGATCGCGGTCGACCAAGTCATGCTGGAACGCGGTCGACCATGTTGCACTTGCAGTCGACCGACCTGAATGCTAGCTCTGATGTAGTCTTGCCATGCCAACTTCATTGTACCATTGTTGTCAACTTTCTCTAGTGAAACTCTAGTCAATTCTCCCCGTGAACAAGCAAGTTGTGTGTGCACTAGGAAAACGACTAAGGACCAACGAATGCAGAGATCACATGAGCACCCGTGCCTAACCCGTATTCTAGCTCCCGTTGTAGTAGTTATCTCCGCAGAGACCGCCACTGGGCGTGGCCCTCTTAGAAGCACTAGCCTCATATTTGTTCTCATTCCGTAGCGCTAGTTGAATAGACCGAAAAAAAGAGCCACGCGCTGCTCGCCGCTGCTAGTCGCAGTAGCATCCGACACGTCTCGCCTCGTAACTGCACCTCGGTGAGGCATGATTGCCTGCAGAACGGTCGTCCCTCCCTGATCCGATGCCGCGCGCAGTTCTAGACTTTCCGCCTGCCTAGGGGTTCCGAGAGGAGCTGGCGAAGACGATGGTTCCGGGTTTGCGACGGCCTGAAGCGGCATCCGGCCGTCCATTCGCTGGTGGAGATCGTTCTCGATCTTGGCCGTCGCCCCGTCGTACGGTTCCCCGTGGGCGACAGCTCCGTGTGCTACGTTTTCGTTTTCGTTGTAGGTAGCGCCCCTCATCATCTCCCTCTCCCTCGCTCTCACCGTGTGCTCCTTGCAACAGGCATCCTTCTTGCAAGCGTCCCTCTCCGCATGGTGGCGAGTTTCGGAGCGGACAAGCGCGCGGGGATTGGGCGCACGCTGCAGCGCATCAGCGCCATGCGCAAGCGAGCGGGGATTGGGCACACGCTGCAGCGCATCAGCGCCATGAGATGGTGCGCGAGGTGGTGGCAGGGGGGTGAGTCCGTGGTGGTCATGGGTCCGGAGGCGTGGGGAAGAGCACGGGTAGCAGATGATGGGGACGAGTGCACTCGCAGGGTGGTGGAGGACACACAGGAGCAAGGCGATCGCAGGCGGTGAGGGACATGGCCCATTCCACCATGCCCCTCACCTCACGCCACATACCCCTCTCTCCCTGCGTGCCCTTGTTGTCGTGCGCCGTGCTTTCACAGCGAGGTCCGTGTGCACCAGTGTGCAGGAGCAGCAATAGAGGATAATGGAGGCGGTGGAGAATCGGATGGCATAGGTGGTGGTGATTGATGACAAGAAATGGCCTGCCTAGTGAGTCATCAACATAAGGCGATGGAGGACGCCATGGGGTGCCACACGGGCAAGGCAGCGCAGGTGGAGGTACGGGAGATGGGGCAGCATGGGGACGTGTGGGTGGAAAGCGAGGTGAGGCATGGGAGGAAAGCGAGGTGAGGCATGGGAGGAAAGCGAGGTGAGGCATGGCATGGGGAAAGAAAGGAGGCAGGGAGGAAGGGGGGAGGTGATTGCTTGGCGGAATAGTGTGAGAAAGCAGGGGAAACAGGTGGAAGGGTTGGCAAAGTGTTGGCTGCATGGGAGGAGCTGGTAGCACGGGATGAGAGGTGACAGCAAAGGGGGAAGGGAGGTGGTAGCAGAAAGAGAAAAGAAGGTGATAGCAGAGGGGGAGGGAAAGGGGGATGAAGGAAGGGAGGAGGGATGGGGGAAGGGAAAGGAGGATGTGGGGAAGGGATGGGGGATGGGTAAAGGGATATTGGGAGACAAGGGAAGGGAAAAGGGGGTGTGGGGAAGGGATGAGGGATAGGGAAAGGAAATGGGGGATCGAGGAAGGGAAAGGAGGGTGTGGGGAAGGGAAAGGAGGGTGCGGGGAAGGGAAAGGGGATGTGGTAAGAGAAGGGGGGTGGGGGAAGGGAAGGGGGATGGGGGTGTCAAGATAGCAAGCAAGAATGATTGCATTGAATGAATTGTGGGTACAAGTACTAACCCTAATATTGGGTTGTACCCCACATGGGCTACCCACTATAGCCTACACACAACTAGCACAGATATGGTTTAACACACCCCAATAGGCAAAGTGGGGGAGAACAAGGGGTCACAAGACCAGTCAAGAAAAACAAAGCAAGCTCAGGGTGGATCACAACGTCACCACACTCTGAGCACAAGCAAAGGGGCCACAAGGCCAGTTCACAGGCAGATGGTATATATGCAACAACAACAATACAGTGATCACTACCTACCAAGAGTAAACATGCAGGTATATATGTATATATATATATATATATATCACGGTACAACCAGAGTCTACAACAAGTGAGGAAACGTGGGCACCAGGCATAGAGCAGTGCAGAAGCGCTGATGATCACCAGCCGGAAGGGCCTTGGTGAACACATCAGACGTGTGGGCCTGGGTGGGTACGTGAGCGACACGAAACCGACCACGCTGCTGCAACTCTCGAGCAAGGAAGTAACGCAGAGTGATGTGCTTTGTTCCGTGCTCGAGTCTGTGGTCCTGTCACAAGGCAATGGCATCTTTGTTGTCGACATACAGAACTGGAGGAGAACGAGGCCTCTCTCCCAAGTTGGTCAGCAAGTAGGTGAGCCAGCATAGCTCCTGTGCAGCCATGGCTGTGGCGTAGATCTCAGCCTCACAACTGGAGCTGAGAACAGAAAACGAGCGTGTAGACCGCTAAGAAACAGAGCCAGAGTCAAGGCTGAACGTGTAATGCGCACCCTCTCCCGCGCTCTCTCACACGCTCTCTAATGCGCACCCTCACATGCTCTCATGCGCTCTCTCATGCGCACCCTCACGCGCACCCTCACGCGCTCTCTCATGCGCACCCTCACGCGCTCTCTCATGCGCTCTCTCATGCGCACCCTCACGCGCTCCCTCACGCGCTCTCTCATGCGCACCCTCACGCGCTCTCTCACGCGCTCTCTCATGCGCACCCTCACGCGCATCGCGCACTCTCACGCGCATTCTCTCTCTCTCACGCACTCACTCACGCGCTCTCTCACGTGCTCTCTCACGCACACTCTCACGCGCACTCTCACGCTCTAACACGCGCTCTCTCATGCGCTCTCTCATGCGCTTCTCTCACACGCTCACTCACGCGCACCTCACGTACACCATCACGCGCTCTCTCACGAGCTCTCTCATGCTCTCACACGCGCTCTCTCACATGCTCTCTCATACGCAACCTGACGCCTCTCTCATGCACTCTCTCACGCGCTCTCTCGCACGCTCTCTAATGCGCACCCTCACGCACTCTCATGCGCTCTCTCATGCACACCCTAACGCGCTCTCTCATGCGCTCTCTCACGCGTTCTCTCGCGCGCTCCCTCACGCCCTCTCCTGCGCTCTCTCACACGCTCTCTAATGCGCACCGTCATGCGCTCTCATGCGCTCTCTCATGCGCACCCTCGCGCGCTCCCTCACACGCTCTCTCACGCACTCTCTCACGTGCTCTCTCACGCCCTCTCTCACGCGTTCTCTCGCACGCTCTCTCGCGCACTCTCTCGCACGCTCTCTCGCGCGCTCTCTCCTGCGCTCTCTCCTTCGCTCTCTCCTGCGCGTTCGCTCCCGTGCACACGCTCTCCCTCGCACTTGGTCTCTCCCCTTCATCAGATGAAAGTGCAATGCAAGAGGAGACCAATTAACACAGGGCAAAAAACAAGGGAAATTCAGAGGGGGAAGGAGGATGAAAAGACCGGGAACGCACCTGATAACCACGGTGCCTCAGAAAACAACCCGCGCTGGCGCACCTACCCGCGATCCGCGCACCAACCCACGCTTGCGCTCGTGCACCCGTCGCCGGAGGCGATGGCGGGGAGGGAAAGAGAGGCGACGGCGGGGAGGGAAGGAGAGGCAACAGCGGGGAGGGAAGGAGAGGCGACGGCGGGGAGGGAAGGAGAGGCGACGGCAGGGAGCAAAGGAGAGGCGACGGGAAGGAGAGGCGACGACAGGGAGAGAAGGAGAGGCGACGGCGGGGAGGAGGGAGAGGCGACGGCGGAGAGGGGGGAGAGGCGACGGCGGAGAGGAGGGAGAGGGGACGGCGTGTGAAAGATGAAACGAGGAATGGTAGGTATAGTTAGGAGCCATAGCTAGGTAAACCCTAGCTAGGCAAGAGAGAATAAGGAAAGGAGGGGGTTCACTAGAAAGCAGCAGGATACATATAGGGAACCCTAAGGGGTTGTACTCGCTATAAAGAACCCCACTGCAGGCTAGCGAACAATAACATTCTGACACACCCCCATAGTCAAAGTGGGGTATAATCAGCAGAGCAAGTAGTCCTAGAGCAGGTTCACATGCACAAGTAAAGCTAGAGCCAGTCGCAGAGGGCAAGTGAGGAGGAGGAGGAACTGTGGAAGGAGAGAAGATGGGAGGCAACGTCTGAAGCTGCAGAGGCACGTGCACAGGAGCGGCTGACTCAGTGGCTACCGAAGCAAGGGCGCCGACTACTGGAGTAACTGGCTCCACGGCTATAGACGAGCGGCAGGAGCAACGGACCCACTGGCGTCTGGTGCAACAGGCTCACTGGCTACCGAAGCAAGGGCGACGGACTACAGGCGCTGCAGGCGACACGACCACTACCTCCTCACAACTTCCTCCAGCTGCCCCACGCCCCTCTCACACACCCCCTACTCAAGCCCTAGCTCCACTCCCATGGTACCCCCCTTAAACCCTAAACCGTAGGCTCCCATACACCCACCCCCCTCAGCGGAAACTGCAGCAGTGGGAGACCAGGGAGGAGGAGGAGCAAGGGGAGTAACACACAACCGCCACCCCAACACTCCTCACCCCCAAACCCTAATTCAGGAGAACGGGCAGCAGCAGGGGTGGGGCACCGTCAGAAGCACGGGGGACAGCGAGCAGCTCAGGGACAGAGAGGAACGGGCCGCCCACGGGCCTGGCACAGCCTGACGAACTGCGCGCAGGCGGCCTGGCGCGCGGGCCTGGCGCAGCCCGTACGGGCCGCGCGCGGGCCTGGCGCCCGAGCCGCGCGCGGGCCTGGCGCAGCCCGTATGGGCTGCACGCGGGCCTGGCGCAGCCCGTACGGGCCGCGCGCGGGCCTGGCGCAACCCGTACGGGCCGCGCGCGGGCCTGGCGCAACCCATACGGGCCGCGCGCGGGCCGGGCGCAGCCCGTACGGGCCGCGCTCGGGGCTAGCGCAGCCCGCGCTGGCCAGGACGGGCGACGGGGGACGACGGGCTGGTCCCCGTCGCCCGTCGAAGCGCCCCCCAGGGGCGACGCGCGGACCGACGGGGCGGAAGGCCGCCGCGCGCCTCGGGACGCACGGCGGGCAGAGAACCGCCGCACGCCCCGAGGCGCACGGCGGGCAGAAAACCGCCGCGCGCCTCGGGGCGCACGGCGGGCAGAAAACCGCCGCACGCTACGAGCGCGCGGCGGGAAGAGGAATCCGTCGCACGCCAAGGGGCGTGCAACACACAGAGTAGCAGCGGAAGCAGCAGTAGGGCCCACAGGCCAGGAGCATGAGTGCTCTGATACCATGTGAAAGATGAAACGAGGAATGGTAGGTATAGTTAGGAGCCATAGCTAGGTAAACCCTAGCTAGGCAAGAGAGAATAAGGAAAGGAGGGGGTTCACTAGAAAGCAGCAGGATACATATAGGGAATCCTAAGGGGTTGTACTCGCTATAGAGTACCCCACTGCAGGCTAGAGAACAATAACATTCTGACACGGCGGAGAGGAGGGAGAGGCGACGGCGGAGAGGAGGGAGAGGCGATGGCGGGGAGGAGGGAGGGGCGACGGTGGGAGGAGGGAGAGGCGGCGGCGGGAGGAGGGAGAGGCGGCGGCGGGAGGAGGGAGAGGCGGCGGCGGGATGGGAGGGAGCAGCGACGGCGGCTGGAAAGGAGGGAGGGGCGATGGCGAGATGGGAGGGAGCGGCGACGGCGGCTAGGAGGGAGAGAGACGCGATGGCGGGGTGGGAGAGAGCGCGACGGCGGGGTGAGAGGGAGAGGGGCGAAAAGGAGTAAGGGACAGCTAGACGGTAGGTAAGGCGCGACTGCAGGATTGGGCGGGAATGGGCGGATTTGAAGGGAGAACCAAGCAGCAAGAAGCAAGAACCAAGAACCAAGAAGCAAGAACCAAGGAGACGGAAGTCGAATTCGAGCAGACAGGTGTGAAAGGAAAAAAGTACACTCCTTCCCACTATAGTAAATTGTAAGCGCAATACAGTAAGATGGATGTAAAATTTTTTTGTCTATTATAAACACAAAAAATATTTCACATCCAAATAGTTCTCTGTTAATACACAGAAGAATCACTGAGTGTAAAAAAAAACAGCATATCTGCTGAAAGCAGCAAAAGAGGAATTTTGAAGCTTATTCCATTCTAACCAAATATAATTAACATTCTAATTTGCTTTACATCAGTAAATTCTTATATTCACCATCATAATGTTTCTTGTACGAGGATACAACTCTACGCAACCCATCCGACGTAAACGTCGAATCTTGTTCTGCTTGGATCTCGCAACAACTTTCATTGGTACAAACCACCACTGCTCGCCAACGGCACCAGCACCGACCGATCAACATCAGCCATGGCTTTTCCGAGCCTTCGCGCGGGAATCTCGCTCGTCGTGCTCCTCGTCACGATAACGAGCAGCCACGTGGCAGCGAGCTCGCACCTGAGCGAGTTTGTGAAAACGACCATCAAGTCCAAGCCTATAGTCATCTTTTCCAAGTCGTACTGCCCGTACTGCCGGCGCGCCAAGGCGGTGTTTCAGCAGCTGAACGTGCACCCGCACGTGGTCGAGCTCGACCAGCGCGACGACGGGCAGGACATTCAGGACGTGCTCATGGACCTCGTCGGCCGCCGCACCGTGCCGCAGGTGCGCTTGTGTGTGTGTGTGTGTGTGTGTGTGTGTGTGTGTGTGCGTGAGTTTGAGTTCGTGTTTGTGTGTGCGTGCGCGGATGTAGGTGCATGCACGGGTGTAGGGAAGCGCGCGCATGTAGGGATGCGCGTCTGCAATTGTGAGGATATATCTGTACGCGCGCGCGCGGGGGAATTGGTGTCTGTATTCACGCTAAATTCTCAAAAGTGCAATCAAGCCGATCTCTTGTCCCAGCCTGCTTCTCCCTCGCTGCTTCGTCTCTAGTCTAGAGAGAGTCGTAGTTATGCGTATGCGGGGTCTGCATTAGAAGTGACTTGCAGTAGGTCGAATCTAAAGGTGGGGAGTCGTAGAAAGCGCGTTGAAATGCGTGTCTGCATTCGTGAGTGCTCACGAGTGTGCGTGACGATGTGTTTCTGCATGCGACGCTCTTGAAAGCGATTCGTGAGTGCGCACGACTGTGCATGGGGATGTAAATCTGTACGCGACGCTCTTTTCCAAACTGCCTATTTGCGCGTTGTTCAATCGCCCTCCTGCATCCTCGAGCGCTGCACGGCATTAATCTTCGAGAGTTCTTATCAGCCATCCACGGACACATTCACAGATAGCCTCGACAAATTGTTGCCATCCCGTTTCCTTCCCTCCTCCCCTACTTCTTGCATCCACTCCCCCTCTTACCCGCCTCCCTCGTCCGCCCTAAAATCACTACTCTTTCTCCCGCCATCCTCCTCTCCCCGTCCGCTCTCCTCCCCCTCCTTCTCCCCTTCCCGCTCCCCCTCCCCATGCCCATACGGCGCAGGTGTTTGTGGGCGGGGAGCACATTGGCGGGGCGGACGACACGGCGGACAGCTTCGCGGAGGGCACGCTGCGCATGAAGGTGCACGCCGCCATCAACACCCACTCCGACCTCTGAGGCAGCCCTGCACTGCATTGCGCAGGCAGGGAGGCAGGGAGGCCACGCAAGGGGGTGAGCAGGCCAGCGGTCCAGGGGGCAACAGGCGACGGGAGACAGGCAAGGAGGAGGCGAGGGGTGATGTGGTGGGGGTTGAAGGAGTGGCCACGCAGCCTGGTGCTGTCTGTCGTGTGCACAGCAAGGCCTCGCCTCGCCTCGCCTCGTCTCTCCTTGTGGTAATGGCGTCTGGGAGCTCTTGAGGCAGTTGAGCAGGAGGAGATTCTAGTTGCTTGTACTGCTCACTGACCCGTCTTTCAGTTCCACTTGTTTTAAACGCTAGAGCCTAGGAACTGCTTTCCCTGTTTCTCCCTGTTGTACGGTATATGCGGTTTCAGATAAACATGAAGCCTATTTTGCCAGAATCATTAGCAAGAGAAAATAAAAGCTGCAGTCGGTGTGAGGTGACGTGTGTGTGCCTGCTGCAGCAGATGCAATAGACCCAGTCCATTTCACTTGGTTGCAGTTACGTATTACGTGCTAACCAACCAACCTCGTCTCTTCACCTCACAAGGAACGGTGTGTGCAATACTGGCAGGCCCTCAGATTCGTTTTTGGCCTGTCTGATTAGTCAGACTAGTCCACAATTTTAGTCTGAAAATCTCAGAGCTGGTATAAAAAAAAGGCTGAAATTTCAGAGTGTCCTAAAAAAAAAGTCTGATACCGTAATTCAAAAACAATGTATTCAATGTTTCATCGGAATGTAATCAATGTTTCATTCATCTGCTACCGAAACACACAACACTAAGGGGATTTCCGATAAAACATGCTCTGACAGGGCGAATACATGTGTCAGCGCGAATCTTGTGGTGCGAAAGAGCGAATCTGCAATGTCAGGGCGAGTTTTCTGTGATTGGTCGAAAATTGTTGTGCTCTGACAGCGCAAATCTGTTGTGTCAGGGCGATTTTTCTATGATTGGGCGAAAATCTTGTGCTGTAAGGCTCGGATTTGCTGTGTCAAGGCGATTTTGCGTTGACATTGCGAATCTGTTGTGACCCGTAAGTCCGAATCACCAGTCAAGGACGCGTTTGTAAATGTTCAGAGTACACTCTCAGAAAACTCTGAACTCTCAGAGTTAGCCTTTAAGTCTGAAAATTACAGAGTTTGGGCCCAAAAAAGTCTGATTTTAACAGAGTACACTGGAAAAAAAATCTGAAATATCAGAGTTTTTTGTGCAAATCAGAGAAAAAAGTCTGACTTCGTAGGGCCTGAATACTGGAAATAGAATAAAAGCCCTCCGAGCAACCAAGCCCTCGTCGCCATGCTGCCGCTGGTTACCAGCAGCAGCTCCATTTTCTGCTATTGCTCACACGCCATGGCCCAAGCATCACCAACAAAGATAATGGGTCATGACTCATCATGGGTCACATGTCAGTCAGGCAGGAGTGGTGGGGAGTGCATTCTTGTATTTACGAGTGCACCATGCACATGGAAAAAAAACGCACGTCATGGTACCCGTGGCTGTTGTGCACCAAGCCTGTCACTTGCCACTGCTACTGCTACTCCAGGAACTATGGTGTCCCCCCACGTCTCACTCGCCCCCCCCCCTTTCCCCCCTTCTCCTCCTCTCTCCTCCGTTACTGCCGTTGCCCTGATGTGGCAAGTGCTGCAAACGTCAGTCACGACTACAGCTACCATATCAACCCTGCACTAACGTGCCAACACACTACGGCTACCCCACTTCGCTCCTCTACAGCTGCCCCCTTTTCCCCACTACAGCTACCCTCTTTACCTCCCCTCCCCTCCCACACCTCTTCCGTCCCAGCCCTAGAGGTGGGCTCAAGACTGCGTGTGAACACGGATTGACTTCTGAGTCGGCAACTCCAAGTCACCTCCTCACAGGTGGCCTCTGACTGCACCAGTTTCGAGAAATCTCAAAAGTCGGCGCAGCATCCAAGTCACACCACGGCCCATCTCCCTGCCCTCACTAAAGCGAGCTGCAGGTGGCCGCGCATCTGAGCACGGGGATAATGATGTCGGTGCGCAGAGCTGTGGCAGCTGCTGCTAACGCCCCCCCTTTCTCCTCCCTGTCCTCCCCACCTCCCCCCTACCTCCCCTCCTCCCCTTCCACCTTTTTCACGTCCCCGTATGCTACATGTCTCCTCCGAGCATGAGGTGACTTGTGAGTCCATGCACATGCAAGTCACATCTCCCCTCCGCGGAGCCAGCTACAGGTGGCAGCACAGGTGAATCTGTGTTTTGCTTATTTTTTTAACTTCTCAAAGAAACGGAGCGAGCTACAGGTTGCCCCGGAGGTGGCGGCGGAGCACGGGGATGACGTTGTGGGGAGCGGAGAGCTGCGGCAGGTGCTGCTAAAGCTCCCCCTCTCTCCTCCTGTCCTCTCCCCCTTCCCCCTCCCCTTTTACTTCCCCAAGCTACAGGTTGCCCCGGAGGTGGCGGCGGAGAACGGGGATGACGATGTGGGGCGCAGAGAGCTGTGGCAAGTGGCCGTGTGTGGGGAAGATCTCGACGACGCTCTTGCCGCCCAGGTGCGCGTGCATGTACTCCGCCACGGCCACCGGCACCGCCAGGTCCTGGCTCGACTGCAGTATGTGACAGGGGACCTTCACCTGGGGGAGTGGGGAGACACGGAGGGTTGACTTTCAAGGAATGGCTAATGGTATTGGCAGGTTCTGACTCGATTGCAGGATGTGGCAGGGGACCTTCACCTGGAGGGGAGAAAGGGAGGAGTCGGGACATGAAAAGGTGGTGCGGATGGGGGGACGAGGGGAAAGGGTGGGTGGGGAGAGGGGGGAATTGGAGGGGGGAGGGGGGGGAGAAGGGAGAATGGGGGGGGGGAAATTGCGGTGAGGATTGGGGGCTGGAGGTGTGTGGTGCTGTGGACAGTGGAAGACGATGATGGGGAGTCAGCTTGCCTGTCTGTATGCGACATCATCAAGGTGGGAGGGCAAGGAGAGAAGAAACGGATGAAACGATGCGCATGGAGCGGAGAAACCACTCCACATGCACCCCTCCAGAGCAGCACACGGAGAGCGTGAGGAGGGGTAGTTGGCACCACCTGGGGCAGGCAGGATGGAGCGCAGCAGCGCATGTCGGACTGGAAGGAGCGCATGGATGGAGCGACATGCGGACGGATGGAGAGAGGGCGATGTCAGGGCGGATGCAGAAGAAGGTGCGGCGGCTGAACGCCTGCACCGCCCCCACTCCTGCACGGCGGGCACACTCATGGCCACCGAAGCACACACCTGCGCCACCATCCCACCCTACCCCGACTCGACTCGACTCGACGCAACAACCAACCACGAGAGCCGCTTCCACCCACCGGCATGGCAGCCCTCTCTCCGGCCCTGCCGTGCCGCTCCCCTGCGCTCACCTGCGGCAGGATGGAGCGCATGTCGGATTGAAAGATGGTTTTGGAGACGGAGAGAGCGATGTCGGGGCGGATGCAGAAGAAGGTGCGGCTGAACTCCTGCACCGCCGCACAGTTGATGTCCGCGCCCACTGCCAGGGGCGCGAAGCCGGATACCCACGCACGGAAGTTGGAGTGCATGGCGGCGAACAGCTGGTTCAGATCCTCCTGCTCGAAGCCCCCGAAATAATCCACGTCGTTCAAGTACCTGGTGGGAGGGAGGAGGGAGTGGAGGGAGGCGGTGGAGAGGGGGTCGCAATAGGTGGAGGGCGGAAGGGAGGGGAACAAGAATGTGAGGGAAGAGGGAAGGTGGTGGGGGAGGGACGCAGGAAGGGGGAGGTCGCCAGGATGGGACGGGGGAAGGAAGCGAACGGAGAGAGTTTGTGTGCGGATGGAGCACAGCCACAAGCAGAGAGGGAAGTTGGAGTGCATGGCGGCCAACAGCTGGTTCAGATCCTCCTGCTCGAAGCCTCCAAGGTAATCCACGTCGTTCAGGTACCTGGGAGGAGGAGGGGTGGGGAGGGAATGGGGTGGAGGGGGAAACGCAATGGGAGGAAGGCGGGAAGGGGCAAGGGGTAGGGAGGGACGCAAGAGGGGGGAGGGTGCCAGGAGGAAAGGGGAGTAGAGGGGTGCGGTGGGCAGGGTTTGAGGCGGCTCAAGAGGCCTTGCGAACGTAAATTGGGAGAAATGGTCCAATCGTACAGGTACTAGAGGGGGTAGGGGAGGGTGGGTGGGGGGAAGGGAGCTGGGGAGTGAGAGGGGAGGAAGGGGAACTTGTGGTTGGGGTTTGTGGATGGGGGAAAAGTCAGTGGGTAGAGCTCGGAGAGTGGAGTCGGCGAGGAGGTGAGCGGAGGAAATGGGAGGGAAGAGGAGGGGAAGAGGAATGTGGGGACCGGAAGGTGTGCCAGGCAATTAGATAGCAAACGAGCGGAGAGGAGGACGATGCTGGGAGAGGGTGGGCGCGATGGACGGGACAGGGCTGGAAGGAAGGGAGGAAGGAGACTTCGATTTACTCGTGGCAAGAATGCAACCCTCACCAACTCCCCCATGGCTTCTTTCCCCCCACCCCACCCCGCCACCGTCCTGCCCCTCCCTCCAACCCCCCTCTTCCCCCGCGCGCCCGCATCGCACCTGGGCGACGCGCCGATGAGCACGATCTTCTTGAACGCCTCGGGGCGACTTTCCAGTCGACTCAAAAGTCACCTCATTCCCCCCCCACCCACCCCCCCACCCCCCACCCCCCAACCCCCCTCCCCCCCCCCCCCACACCGTCCCTTTCCCCCGCACCGCACCTGGGCGACGCGCCGATGAGCACAATCTTCTTGAACGCCTCGGGGCGAGCAATGGCCGCAATGCACCCGATCATGCCCGACACGCTATGCCCCACGTACGTGCACTGCTGCGCGCCCACCTCCTCCAGAATCGCCAGCAGATCGTCCGCGTACCCGTGCAGCGACGAATAGCGCGCGAAGGAGAAGTTGTCCGGGTTGGTCGACCCCGCGCCCATGAGGTCTAGGAGCAGGAGGCGGTAGTCGTCGTCTAGTAGGTGCGGCACGATGTGCTGCCACACGGATTGGTCTGTTCCGAACCCGTGGCCTAGCACCACGAGCTCCGACGCCGAGGAGTCCGGCGAACCCAGCAGCCGCACGTTGTGCTCCTCGAGAATGGACCCCATGCTTGGGTTGGGTTGGGTTGGGTTGGGTTGGGTTCCCGTCGCGGCAAGGATGAGCGGTGAGGGCGGCGTGACGGGGGTGACGGGAGTGAGGGGTGTTGAGGGGTGGGAGGTGGTGGGTGCGTGGCTGGAGAAGGGGGCGGATAGGTGGTGACTTTCGAGTCGACTCAGAAAGGTTGGGCAAACGGGTGAAGGAGTGAGCGTGTGGGGGATGGGCGCGTGAACGCGTGGGTGTGTGGCAAGGCCCTCCTCGAGCCTGCTCGATACTTCAGAGTCGCCGCGGCGTGGTCGGTCGCGTGGGCTGTGGGCGGGTGGTGTCGCGATGGCGGAAAGAAATGGATGTGCGGTGGTGCGACAGAGCAGCCCGGCGGGGAAATTGGGATCGCCGCGAGTCGCTGCGGAGGAGACCAGCCAATTCGGTGCGAATGGTTCTTGCGAGGTGTGGATAAGGTCCGACGGAGTTGGAGTCGGCCGCAGCGACAGCGCACAGCGCAGGTAGGTGGTCCGAGTATAAGTCGAGGACGAGGAGACTCTTGATTTCACTCTGAAAAGCGGCACGCGCCGCTGAATGCGGTATATCAGTCCACTGGAATAAAGAACGCACCGTCTAATTGAAGAGGCTGTGCGTCGAAGTTACACCCGCTTGATCGCAACAGGAGGAAACCACTGTTGAGGTAAAGACACTCTCAGATGAATCATGGCGCGGTTATTGCTGTTGTTAGTCGTAGTCCATACGAGTACGTGATTCTTGTAATTATTGGGAGCAGAAGCATCTACATGATAGTCCCGGTGAAACTCGGAGCAATGGTTTCAGCTGAAGGTGAGAGTTCGAGAAATTAGTCTGGCTTCTAAGCGAACGTTCCTTCTGTTCCGTCGTGACGCAATCCTTCGCATTCCCTCGGAAAGCCGGCTGTGAGCGTCGAATGCGCTGACCAGTGTCTGCCCCTGGCACTCATACAGTACGTCCTGCAGAGAGAAATACAGCCGTCGCACGAAGCTCACTGGCGGTGACACGATGTTGGCGTGCGTTCGCACCCTTCACCACGGCAAACAACTGCTTGACAAGTGTCTGTGTAGCTGTGCTGTGCAAGTGGAGGGCATCAAGTGGAGCCATAAAAGCGACGGGCAAGTGTTGGGTTCAGAAGTTTTTTTTTGGGAAATTACATGCCAGGTCCTTAGTTTCAAAATTATCTCAAATTTACTCCCGAGTTCCCAAAAAGTCCAGCTTTGTGGAATTTTGCTCACGCGAGGCCCAGATTATGTTCAGAACTGGTCCTGCGGGGTCAAAATTTCAACACGTGTCCATTTTGCACCAATATTTTATTAACGGGGTGCGAAACATAATACCCCAAGGGTGACGGGGCACATTTCGGGAGGGATCAACCCTAAACACCGGGCGGGTTCCCGTGTTTAGGGTTGATCCCTCCCTAAAAGTGTCCTGGTTTCGCTATGGGTATTCTGTTTTTTGCCCCGTCGAGAAATTCCTAGTGCGAAATGGACACGTTTCGAGAGTTAAGCCCCACAGGACCTGTTTCGAACATAATTTGGGCCTCGCGCGAGCAAAATTCCACAAACTTGGACTGTTTGAGTGAACTTAGAAATAATTTTGAGAGAGTTATGAAAATATGGAGCTAACATTTACTTTCCCCCCTTTTTTTTTAACCAGGCTTGCCAGCGCGAAAGTGCTGGCTGGCAAAACCAGGATTTCGTGCGGACACTTTCCATCCGCAGTAACAGTTCGCCAGGGTTCTGGGTTTTGGGTGGCAAATGCGCACCGTCGCTGGGGAATAGAGCCATGGCGGAGAGGGGGAGTGAGTGAGGGGGACGGATGGCTGCTCAATGGATGGGGGAGGAAGGGAGGGAGGTTTGGTACTGTATCTGTCTGCGAAGTCGCAGAGAGGACCTCAAGTGGAGGCTCGGAGTGGGGAGCCATTCAGCAAAAACGAGGTTCGGAAGCCCCAAAATGGCCTCGGAAGGAACTGTTCATCGAAACAAGCCGGGCCAACTTCATCGGCATGCAAATTATACAACAGATTTACGATTGAGGACTTACAGTTCAGTCTCCATTCAGTCCAGAATCCATTGCAAAAACTAGAAATAGTAAGAAACGCTCACGATATATGATCACAAACTACAGAAATCCGACCTGGAATTTTGTCCTTGCACATGACTAGAATCATTTTGGTCTGAACCCATGGATTTCTCCAAGCTCTCCGCCATGGATTTCTTCAGGGTATTCAACCCAGCTTTCGTGAAGCAGAGTTATCAGTTGGCTTTAAGAAGCACAGCTTTGAGCTCGCCTTATCGCGACGAATCGATTGGTACACTTTTAATGTTCATCACGCGAACATAGTATCAAGAGCTTTTCGGGATTTGCTGTTCAGCTTCTTTAATCCAAGCAATCTCAAGGCTTCATCAGCTGACACCCTATCATTGATTCATTGTGCTTCACGAGAGTTTTCCAAAGGGAATCCTGATTGGCTGTTCGTATTTCATGGCGTTCTCAAGGCTACTGATGATCACCGACAGGTCTTATCAGCAACAACTCAGCACTTACATCAAGAGCACTGGTCTGATGGGAAGACGCTGCGTCTATATTATACTGGGCTCAGACATTTGGCAGCTCAGGCATTTCGAGCCTTTGTAAATCAACTGTTGCTGATCTTCGCTTATCATCGCCCTATGGCGCGTCCTCCTCCTAAAGAACGTGCTCCGCTCATGCCGAAGCGTGCTGCTGCTGGTGGTGCTGTTTCGGATCCTGAAGGCAAGGGGAAACAAAGGGAGGAGAATGAGCCGATTACTCCAGTCGCTGGAAGTTTAGGTTTATCACTGGAAGAAAAGCTGGCTGCACTTACCTCTGCGCATGATATTGACAACGACGGCGACTTCACGGATGATGACTCGGACACAGAGCTGGAGTTTGAGATATCCAGTGACTCTGCTGCAAAGCTTCGTTACACGGCTATCCTGCTTTTGCCTCTCGTGCTACAGCCGGAAATCGCCTTGGTCATTGTCACCGCACGGATGCTGCTAAAGCGTGTTTGGTCTTCCTTGCTTTCTGATGGCGCTAACACGAAGGTTGACTTTCAGGACATTCATCGTGCGTATGTCGCAAAAACCAAGTTCAGTCGCCTGCAGTTATCATTTCACAAAGAAGAGGATGCCATTAAATTGAGACAATCGGCTCTGGAGTATCAGAAGCCAAATGGAACATCGTTCCCACTGCATTGGCTTCATACTGAAAACGCGGCCTTCGTTAAAGAGAAAGCTACCGATCCACGAGTCATTGAAGTGGTTTTTAAAGACATACCTGCGAATATTACACCGGAGGCTGTTGAGGAGCTGCTGGTGAAGTACAAGTTGAAGGTTCGGCAGGTCACGCCTTTCCTGGAGAGCCATTGCTTCCACCGGGTTGTACATCCTGTCTCTGGAGCTAACACAGGGGTTATCAAGGGACTGGTAGTTCCGCATCCGGAGGATAAGAAGAGGCGTTGGATTCATCAGGTCAACCACCCGCAGGAGAAGGGCAAGACGCTCCTGGTCCATTACCCTGCGCTCTCCTGTCGGCTCTGTGGGGGATGGCACTATGATAAGTACCATGATGCCTTCATCACAGACTGACAGCATAACATAGGGAAATGGAGCTTGAGTTTAGGTCGTGTGCACGGGATTAACGGTAACGGTGCAGCTGCTCGATTTCATGATCCTCCTTCTCTTACTTGTTCTTCGGATACTAACCACTCAGCCGCTTGTCGCAGCTTCCTCGCTAACTGCAACAAGTCTTGTTCGTCCGATCCTGCTCGACCAGGCGATTGTGTTGATCTCCACCGGAAGTTCCAGGGAGGAATGGATTTGCACTCAGATCGGCTGCGGGAAAGCACACGGGAAGCTATTTGTCGCTGCTGCAGAGCACGTCACCTCAGCACGTCATCTGCACGGTCAGGGAGAGCTCGGTGCTGTTACTCGGTTGACGAGGGAGAAAGAGAATCTGCACACGGTTCGCAAGGATTATGGGATCTAATGGCTCCAGAGAAACTCACCATGGCGATAGCAGTTGGTTCGGCGTTGGCTGTTCTGTTCTGTATCACCTGCCTGTGGATGCGTAGTGGCGATCAAGGAGCTATTAAATGAATACACGAAACACCCAGTCGTTTGCGGGCCTGAATGTTAACGGCCTGGGGGATTTCACGAAGCGGAAACGTACAACGGCATGGATTAATAGCAGAAAAGGAGCAGATGTAATGGTTTTGTCGGATACCAGAATAGCAGATGATCACACTTACTGGCCTTCTCTCAACCTCACCTCTCTCGCCGTTGACACGAGCTGGTGGTGTTGCAGTCCTGAGCCGGCGAACAGATCTCTCTTTTCACAACCCTTTAGCCCACCCTTCCGGAAGACTTCTTAAGGTGGAATTCCACTGCTTGAGCCTTCGCCTTACTTTAATAGCCACTTATCTCCCTGCAGACAAAGCCGAAAAGAGAGCCTTCATCAGATTAGTGCTTGGTCTGGTTATCAACCACATTCAGCCAGGCGCTCACCTGCTCATCCTAGGAGATCTAAATACCATTGAAAAGCTATTGCTCGACAAGACCTTTCGACATGGATCAACAAGAGAGAAAGACTTCCTCTATCATCACTGCAAAAATTTCGCTATCTCAGATGCTTTTCGCTTCCTTCACCCGAGCGATCGTGGATTTACCTTTTATTCGCAGGCGCATCAGGAAAGCACACGGATTGATCGGGATCTGGTTTCTCAATCCCTGCTCCCGTGCTTGGTGTCGGGTGAGCATGTTTCACCGGATGAGCAAGTCTCCGACCATGGTTTTGCCATCTGAGTAATCTTCAAGCTTAAGTCGTGTTGAAGCTGGGACCGGGTGTTTGGCGTCTTCACCCTTCCCTGACGGGGAGACCGGGGGCTAAAAGGAAAATCGAGGAGGTGGAGCGGTTGGTCACGCAGAATGGAGGGGGTTTTGCGTCTCTCATCTCTCGCCTGAGCACCAGT